AGACTACAGTCCTTGAGATTGTACAGTGGTGAATTTCGACGTCAGCGAGTTATCTTAAGCAAGGTTTACTTACTACTTACCGACTCAACTCACCCATGTCGCAAGCTGTTGCAGCTGAGCCAAGATACCAACCTGAGAGACCATCAGCTCAAACTGGCTACGCACTACAGTCGAGTTGACTATGGACGAAACGCTTTCTCCCGTCGTGTGTCCCGTGCCTGGAATACACTTCCGACTCACGTTATTCTTGCCCCTACATTAACGATTTTCACAAGACGTCTTGATGATGCGCTTTGAAATTTGCATTACTTGATATAGTCCGTTCACTTAGAGGACAAAATAACGCAAACCTAACCACGTGCTTAACGTTCCTCTCCGCAACTTGTCGATGAGTATACATGTTGAAGTATCCATGTGATTAGCCTGGATGTAGCTAAACTGTATTAACCTATCACATCTGTCAAATGAGGAAACAAACGTATGAGCTTTGTCGTTTCCCTTTTTATTTCTCATGCACTTACTGAACTATAACACTTGGCTATACTAGTTTGTGTGTGCACATCCCATACCCACCAAAAAATGGTTATGCAGTAGTGCATTTAAATCGGTGGACGCTAGAAATAACCATTTACTTATTCAATGATCGTATAAATTTTAATTCCTACTTCAACCACCCTACGGGACTTGTCAAGCAAATGCTTTTCTCATACGTGCTAAATCATTCTTCATTTTGTATTGGTGTGTATATGTTAATGCGTCTTCCTGATTTGCATACCCGCAAACATTGAGGACACATTGGAACACCAACGACGGTTAGATACACCATACAAATTCGTCGACATCCCAGTCTGTGTATCCCAAAACTTTCACATGTTGTGATGCAAATATTTGTCTTGTACGTCTTTACAGATAACGGACCCTGTGTGATGGTGGATAAGCGAAGTATACCTCGTTCATCTACCGTAAAATATCTCAGTTTTGTTAGCATAAAATACTTGCTTTTCTACACACATTCTTAAAACGTTTGGGATGTTAGAATACTCAAATTTTATGGCTGTAGGCACGCAATGATTTTCATTCCGCGTGTATTTCTTTTAAAGTTTGCAGCTACAATTATTTACACTAGCTAAAGTTTTTCTCAGTTAATTTCCCTGGACATTTTCAAAACGAGTATATGCTTCTTGTCTGTTCGCGTGAAGTGAATTCTCCTTGCTCTGAACTAATGAGAAAACCGCTCAACAAGATTATCGAGAACAAAGGCTTCAAAAAATGCATAACTTTTCCTCCAGGACAACAATCCACCTCTCCAACCATTTACAAACTATCCTAGACAGGACTGATGTAGCGAGAACGAGACGGCAAGGACACAGTCTTAAATGTCAACGAACAGCGGGTTACTAGGCTAGCACACGCGCGTACACATTTAAGGGACATTTCTATCCTAAAACGCCACGGACTTGTTTTCCCGCTCGGCTTCACATTCATGCCCTGATTAAATCCAATGCGCGTGGTCTTCATCACTGATTTGACCTCGTATCTTCGTTTTCGACCATGGTTTTCTGACCAGACTGGATTCGTTCTAATGCTCTTGACATGCTCAATTGCGATGGCATCTTTGTCCATGGGATAAATACCCAAAGCGATTAAAAGTGGCTCCCTTCAGAAAATGTGGCTCTCTAGCACTACCTCGTTCGCACTTCTCTGTGTAGACCGGTATAGTTCTCCGCTGGTGACCCATTACCAAAGTGGTTAGCAGATCTCGAGCTGATTAGCCGACCATCGTTCCTGGTCTCCACTTTAGTTCCCCTCTTTGTTATTTTTCATGACGCTTTTTCTTGCCTGTTTCTTATCGTTCACCCCACTACATTGTAGCTACTTTATCAACACAGTCGAAATATCAGTACAAATACTATCCTACCCGGTCCTATGAACTGAAACACCGTGTTACAAAAGTTTTGACTGTTCTAGGATGTCCGTGCTTTTAATCGCTGTTTCTTTTGGGTTCCTGTTGAACAATGTTTGAAGCAAATCTACCGCAAGCATGCTAACCACCTTTTGATCGTCCTAGTAGTTACCTTTCCTAAGCTGACGTTCGCACAGCTTGAAACTGAGCGTTGACACCCACGACTTCATGAGTTTGCACTCAATGGTTCACCGTTATGAGATATTCGCACGCGTACTGTGGACTGCTAATCGATCGTCTTGCCTGCAGCTGAACGCAACTATTTCAGTCTCACGGTTAGACTATCGCGTTTCGGTATAATGACCATTCAATTTGTCACCGTTTATTTCACAGGTTTACATTTTGTGAACACAACTGCTGTACCCTTGTTTCAGTATGGTCATTGTGAAAGTCAGTATTAAATGTTGCTCTAATCTGTTCTACAACGACACCGCAGCTCAGTTCTGACATTGACTTTTGTATGGATCTGGGAATTGTACGAATCAAGCGAATTCAAGACGGAATTGGCGGTAATCCGCCACCTATATGGCCACGTGCTTGAATGGGGGTGCACCAATTTCGTTTCACCGCTGTCCGTATGTGGTTTCTCACTGCTGCTTTGTCATCTCATAATCCGCAGTGTTTAGCTGAAATGCTGCAAATGCGCCCATATGAGTGGCTAAATCTTAGTTGGTCTTGGACCAATTTCCATGGCGCTGTGTGTAGCAGTGATGAAGTCATTGATTTATCTATAAACAACTTGGCGGCACTTCATGCGGTGTCGTGAATGCGTTTGATGTATGGCTGAGAATCAGATTTAACTACGAGGTCAGCATAAAGAAGTTGGCATTTCTTTGCCCAACATTGCTAAGCACATATGAATGGTTTATTCGTAATTTTCCCTCTGAAGTCAAGTTAACCTCTTGTCTAGTGGAAAAAACCGTTTATGCTACATCTTCTTGCGGCAGTTGGGCAGCGCTTGGCTGAACGTGTCCAAGGCAGTCAACCGCCTAGATCCTCGCACCATAACTTACGTGCTCCAAAGCTCTGGAAGAAGTCAAGCATTATGTGCATTACTGACTCATATATTGCGACTTCGTATCTTTTCATCACCATCTATTCACTAATTAGTACAGATCAATTCACCAATTTCAAATTCACTGTTCATCCGTGAACGGGTTACCCACATCTTTAAACCCGGTGAGAACCGACGTTTATCCCCACCACTGCGTTTATTTGATGTATTGCCATTACACAACACTGCTGTGTGGAAAGCGTGAGCGCCGAGTTAAAAGGCCACCGTCGTTTCCTCTTTATTTGACCTTTCCATTTCGTCTTTGTTGTCGTTAGAGCAATCGTTTCCCTGGCGTGTTCATGCCATCCACTCAGTCATTACAAGCTCAGACATCCGTCAGCAGCTGTGACAACGCCGTTAAGTTCGGCAACATATGTAATTCAGGTGCAAACTCTACCAAGCTACAAATCACACTAGGTGCTTCTGATGAAACTGTACATCCGTCTACAAAGAATCTGTTTAGCCTTTCTGAACGATTTCCTCACGCTCGTATTTGGTAAGGTAAAGGTAACTCCGGTGAATTATTTGGGTGATTTTATGCCAAGACTATACCATTTTCTATTGAAGTTGGACATTCGGGCAAAACATTTACGCCTGGGGGTCAACGGGGTTGCTCCTCCGGGGCAATCAAGTTGAGTCTTCGCTATGCGGAATAGAACCACTCACTGGCATGGTAGGGGCTGTTTCATTGGTCAAGTGCCTTCAACAAATAGGACCTCAGGCGCTTGGCCAATGAAACAGCCCCTACCATACCAGTGAGTGGTTCTATTCCGCAGAGCGAAGACTCAACTTGATTGCCCCGGAGGAGCAACTCCGGGTCCATAACGTGTCATAGAGGAATCTGCACGTCCTCCGCGAATTTAAGTTTGCTGGTTGGGCAAATGTTTGAGTTCAGTTGCCGTTTGCCACGTATTTTAAGCCAAGCTGTGTTGGTTACGTCAAAGCAATTACCAATGTGAAATTAGTAACCCAATTGCAACTTCAACTACCTTGCGCATCAAGTGGGTATTAGCACAGGTCTATGCTGCTTTTTGAGTTAACGGTGCGTTAGCTTGCGGGCAGTTGCAGTACCACCAGTAATTGATTTGGGCACCGCCGTCATCTAATAATTCGGAGTGACCACGTTGAGTGCCATAGCGAAATGTGTTTATGAAAGCACTTCAAACTGTTGCTTACTCTTGAGCAGGTTGTCTCCGCAATATGCATCACCTCAGTTGCAGTGCCATATATACCAGACTGTTCGACAGTTAAATCATTTCCGAAGGATCCCATAGAAATTCGGATGGCTGAATTAGATTGACAATATCAGGAATGCACAAAGTAGAAGCACACTAAATGTCAAATAAAACGGTGGATGTTGCTTTTCTAGTGTGACTAATGTGCATGTTTGGCCGTGCTCAAGATGTATACGCTAGTATGTACCTATGGGTTTCATTCAGTCACCTTCCATGATAGTACCACACAGACAACATAGATGCAAATCGTTGATATTTTGGGTCAGATGATTTAGCGCCAATGGGAAATTCGCACTAGCGTTAGAGGCCATTCCATGAGAAGAGCTGAGTTTGACTGCTCACTCCGGTGAACGATGCGAGATGTGCTTCTTAGTATTTCCGCGTCAGTTCCCACGGACTAACGCCTGTCTGATTGCAACTGTGGTGGTACCCACTATTTCCACAGAAGTGTGATTACGTGGGGAGTAGTGGATTGTCGGCAAACCTGTAACGTCTAGTTGTCATTGATTGCTATGGACCCCGGTATGGAAGAACAACTTACTTGCGTACCCATCACCCATGGAAATCTCTGTAAAAGATAAAAGCTTTCAGCTTGCGCGCCAAAAGATCATGAATTCAAAATGTATACGGGAGCATGACTTCTTACTGTGACCATTTACATTAGGATAATTAGTGGATTCAATTCACTCTAATTAGGTGACCGATAATTGCGGAATACCTGGCACATTGGTGAGTTCAGGCATTACTTATTGCAATACAATTGGTGTGCGAAGGTAGTTATAGCGTCAGAAAATGCAGGATTCTTTTGATATTATGAAAACGATTGGGATCAATTTACCAAAGTTTGACTGCAGTTCAAAGCCCATGAATGTTGAGTCATTTCTTCTTTTTTCCCATTCCGAAAACAATTCCATTACAAAATTGTGCAGTACAGCAGATCCTCTATTCTCTATCTGGACAATGACGTGCGTTCGATTAGAAGGGTCAATTAATGAAGAAAAGCCACATCCGACCGTATGGAATGGCACGCCTGTCTTGGAAGAAACTGAGGCGCGGAGCTGAAATAATGTGGCAAATAATGCTTATCATTGGGTTTAGAGTGATCAGCCAGAAGCTATTTTATCACACATACCCCAAACTTCCAGACATGATGTCAGTATGTAGGGCAAAGTGAGAAATTAGCCTTAATGATTTCGACGAGGCATGCTATTCGTATATCATTCAAATTCTGATGTGATTACTATACGCCTGTAAACAAGAACTCAAAGCAATACTGTTTACCTTGATGCAAACATCTTCAAACTGTCCAACTACTGGATGGTCTTCCAGTTCTTGTTTACTACTTAATGGTAACGGATAACCATCCTTCAGGAGTACTCCTGTTATCTCTATGCCTGTAAGGACAAGAGATAACGAAGTTAACATTAAAAAGCAGACTATTTCGCAAGGCTATCTGGCAGACAGGATTTAGTCATTTTAGCCAGCAGCGTGTGTACTGGCTGTTCTGCGCTTTCTTTAATATTCAGATTGCTTTTGCCATGAACTTATGAAGCAACCAATAATTTAGAGACAACTCACGTGGTGGAACATTTAACATATTATTAACACCGGGTTTTGTAGCGATTAGTTAAAGACGCACAATCCACTAATGTGTACTTACCATGTAGCCGCATTTGTTGGCATGGCGCAAACGCAATTGCTGTTGAACGAAATTGATAGCATTCATGATGAGAACATTATGAAATCATTAAGCGCACCAGGTTCTACTGCGTTCCATAATATCAGAATGTCTAATAAACTGCCTAGACCACTGTATCGGTTTTGCTAATTCAGTGTATTTCTATTATTAGTGTTTCGAACACGTGTAAAAATCAGCTGGGATAGCAATTGTTTCCGCGACAAGCATTTCAATATTGCTTTTGTTACGCATCAAAAAGTCATTTACTCGGACCATCAGACACAATTCCTCACTGCATGGAGCAGCTTATTCTAACGGTACTTCCGAATGGTATAAAGGAACAACTACGTAGTCAAAGGACTGGGTTAGGCCTGGGTGGGCCATCAATTTTTCAACCGTATGGATTGCATACGTGGCATTTATTGTGATGTACGCAAGATCTCATCTTATGAATCAGCCGTTGTATATTTTGATTGCAAATGACATGAGTGCGATTGAACAATACGTACATACTTCTTTTCATTAAAGACTACCGAAATTATGTTGATTTCCTGGGTTCGCGCAGGGCAAAGCAAAAAGTTATAAGTTCTGATTTATACTAGTGGTCTTGTACTTTTCGAATGGGGTTGTGTGATATTTCTAGCGCAAACAGTTTCGTAGTGAAACGTCATCACTTAAAATTCAGCATCGGAGAGCAAATCGCAGGCACAGAAATCAGCACAAAACTTACCAAGTAGTAGTATGCCCCTTGAAGGGAATTGCATGGCGGTTAGGCAGTATTTAATTGGGGTTGTGGCACGCATCCAATTTATATACTCGCCACCTGCTCTTTCTAGAACTTTAACATTTCTGGTTGGAGGATATGTGTCTCACACACACGTGAATTTGTTTGCTAACTCTGTGCACCAATTAGGTAGCCGACAGTACCTATCTGACACACTCGCATGTGGGGCGTCAATCTGATTGACGGCTGAGTGTCTGTGAAGTCTAGCGCTGCTTAACGGAACGTATGGCGGTCCATATCCAACAACTTGGCCGCACACGATTTAACGATGTGGATCATTCTATAACAGCTACACACACATCTGCCATGGCATAGCAATGGTGGGAGTTTGGTTTAGGTCTCTGCTCTGCAAAACACCCAGTCTCATTTTACGACACGGATGGTTATTTTTTTACCATATGTCGTCGCTGGCTGTGTACAGATGCACTTTGCTTCTCTCTTAGCTTACTTTTCATTTAAATTACAGGACCCAAGTAAAATTGGCGTACATGGAAATAGTATTAGGTAGGCAATACTAAGGATAAACAAGATTTTGCTACGCATAAATATTTGAGTAATGCAATCCCCTGTGTTATATTACCAGGAAATAAACTAATAGGATATTGCATTGCGTTGGATCACCATAACAGACAACTGCACCATCTGCTGAAATACGACCAGCACCTGCTTATCAAACCCTGTTCGTCTTCAGATTCGCTGCTGCGCACGGGTTTTCTCCAAACCGATCTCTTACGCCTGTTTGGTACCTGCTGTTCGGATAGCATCCCGCCAATTTGGAAATATATTCGTTTAAGTATTTATCCATCTATCTGTCGTCCGTTCATTCCCGTATTTGCACATACCTGTATAGTGACAATAGACTCCTTGAAGTCATCCGAGAACCTAAAGCATCGTACCCTGGTTGCGCGGTACAGACAACTCGTCATTGCGTTTGGTTATGTGGCCTGCTATAATCGCTTGTATTATTCCTTGGGCGGACTCTTGTTTTCGAGATAAATCCGTAGGCTTCAAATACACTGATTTGCCCTGTTATCTAAAACCTTGCAAATAATCGTATTTTGCATACAGAGCAGCATTGTTGCTGTGTTTTCTTGTTAAATTTTGATTTCATTTGGATAATACCGTAGTGTACTTTTGGTTTTGTTTTGATTTTGTCTGGTTGATTCACCAATTAATTTTTTCCCAGTAACACATCTCTGTAATACAACCGGTCAAAAATCAAAACTTACTTTCGAGCGGTTCAATAAAAGCAAGCTAGCATTAGCAAGGTTAATACAAAAGCACAATTTGAAAATCAGCTTGTTTGTCTCTTTATTACGAGTATTCCGGAAGTCTACTCTGTCGATGATCCAATTGTTGCAATCAATCTAAAGCATCCTAAAAGCAAGCGTGTTAGTTATCCAAGTAAGTGATTTGTTCTACATCAATACTATTGTCACGAATTGCAATCCAATCCAGTGCGACGATTATTGTCCAAGTGAAGCGTGAATTGCCTGGGCGTAGTGTCTTGATTGTATTGATCTGTTACAAAAATGTATAGTTTATGGAGGAATTGACAGACGTACCTCCGGACGTAACTTGCAGTGATACGCAGGATTAAGTAACGAAAGTTAAGTGTGTTTTGAAATCAGTATAACGGGTAAATTAACACAAATTAGCATGCGATTACCTGGTAGTTATATCAAATATGCTTGCTTGTTTGCGTGGCTAAGAAACGCCGCGTCTTTTGGTCGTGACAGGGCAATAAACAAATGCTCAACGCGGATATACTAGTTACATTTGTTAATTCAATGCACTTAATTCATTTCAGTCGTTTGAATATTACGGTGAGAACACGAAATCCGGAGGATACATGCAATTCTTTCATGCTTCCACATTACTATAAACAATAGCCGGTATGAATAATTGCAACAAAGATTGTGAGCGGGCAGACAAGCTCGGGGGACCAATTGATACTGGATATATCGATACACGTGTAGCAGAGGAGCCGGTTACATAGGCAGAAGTTACAGGCCACTGAATTCTGATTAAAGGAATAAGTGTCGAGATATGTTCAACTTAAAATTGCTCAGACAGCCTACCCTAGTTAGATAGCGCATTCGCCTAGCCAGACGTATTCATTGATCAGCAAACTCTTTCAGGTTTCTGGTCACAACTCAGTGTACAACATTATGATTTTCGCGCTATTCCCTTTTCTGTCGGTTTGCTAAAGCTCTTTCAGTATGCAAGAAAACAAACCGTTCTGTGTGTTTGCAAACAAATATTCATAAACCTTAGGCTTCTTCGGGCGTACAAGTGAAAATTCCATAATTCATTCTGTAATTCAGTATATTAACAATAGTAATGTGCATATTGGGTTTTGCCAAACATTCCATTTGACATGTTTGTTGCAGTTGCTAACGACAATGTCAATAATGGTTCTCCAGAGGAATGCAAGTTTCTGACGAAGAACATTCTTTACCTACGGAAGAAAGTTTCCTTTTCTTTGTGACGTGAAATGAGGTTCAAGTGTGGGGTGATATGTAAAACGTTAAAAGTTAATTTCAACAGCTTTCGAGATAGCACTTAATTTAGCAATAATAATTTCCCATACATCGTGGCCTTCTAAAATTCTGTATTACAAAACGGAGGTACTTGTCTTCAGATTAGCAGCTTAACATAAGTGATGCGAAAACCAGGTTAGATTGCCATGCCTGTGTGTAAAGTGGATGTGTTTGGCATTTTTCAACCGGTCCAGGCGTCTGATATTAAATGTGCGCTAGGCGTATGAGATTAGGGAACAATGGAAAAAGGACTAAGGATGAAGACTTTTGAAGTAAAATCAGTTAGAAGCTCCTCGCTGTCCATCCACTCGCTGTCCAATATCCACTTTAACTAAGGTTGATGAGCAGAACGTTTCTCTGCGTCTTGTCGTCACTCAATGAACAAAAATTAGATCAATTAATGTAATTGATGCAAACATCATCGATTCTATTTTAAAAATGGGTAGCTTGGGCGCTGAAATGACAGAATTCGAAAGAGCTTTCCACTGTTGACAAACTCGAAAAGAAACATAAATTGGGCGATCGGCGCAGCCTCGGAATTGATTGCGCTCTCACGTTTTCCAGGGAGAGGTCTTACGAATGTGCTGCATTTGCTCCAGTTCGTGGGTGGCCGCTTCGCGCTCATCATGAGTTCCAGTCACTGGAACACTGTCTACAAAAATGGTCATGACTACCCGTCAACATTTTGGGCTAACCCAGAATGCCAATTTCATCTTTGATAAATTTCAACCGTATGTGATCATCTACCAACTAGCCCTTTACAGTGCCCCATCTGGGCTCCGGAACGTCGGTGCACACAACAGTTAACACACTGTGGTTCTGTTTAGCGAATGTATGTTAGAAGGTTGTGGGTGATAACTTGGATTATTTAGCGGACACCAAAGAATTTTGTGTAAACAGCGTCGCATCCCTCTGGTTTGTTCCTGAAAGTGCACGTATGGGTGTATCTTGGGATGATTTTATCAAGGCGATCGATGCGTATGTTACCTGGCTCTGGACTGCCGGTTTGGGGACCAACATGTCAGGTGGGCCATCTAGGGGCGATTTAATAAGCAGTCACGCCGGATGTAACTTGCTCACGTAAAGGGTTAGTAATTGTCGGAGTACATGCCGCAGATGGCATTGGGCGAATACCGAGACTGATTTAGCCCGCGACTTAGGGACATAGCTTTGAGGGTTTTGCGATAGGACACGATCTGGGTTGTAAACTTCTAATGACAAAGCCTTTAAGCTCGTCATCCACTGAACGGTTTCAATCTTTTCCCAACATTTTACGAGCCCTATTATTAAAGTATCCATTTGGATTGCTCCGTATGTTTATCAAAACCAGAGCTCATCAGTCCGATTGATTTGTCTATTACATCGTATTTTACTTGCGCCACCTCAAATGGGGTAAAACGCAAGGTCCCAATTTGCGTAAGCAATGTCTCGCTTGACGTCTGGTGCATATTTCGGCTCACCGCATTTGCGTTAATTTGTAATCAATTCCAGTAATGGCCGTTGTTTCACACGGACGATTTCTTTGTCTGGTCACGTGAGATAGAGGACGGTCGATGCTCGCTGTCTTGCTCCCAGTCTTACAATCGACGTCGGTTAAATTAGTTGACTGTGTCACGATGATGGAACACGTACACTGAGTTTGATCAGCCTACTGATCTTCGTGCACAT